AAAAAAAAAAAAAAAGTTGGCAAGGGCTATCCCAAGGACCTCTATGGAGATTGCCAAAGCCCAGGCCGCAGGGTGGGGAGCCCTGGCCGCACGGAGGGGAGCCCTGGCCACATGGAGGGCAGCCCTGGCTGCACTGCGGGGAGCTCTGGACATATGGATGGGAGCCCCAGCCACATAGTGGGGAGCCCTGGCTGCATGGACGGGAGCCCTGGCTACATGGTGAGAAGCCTGCGTGCTCTTGGCCTCTGCAGGAAGACTCCGCCTCACGCTTTCTGAACAGAGTGGCCAGGACTCCAGACACTCTACTCTTCTGTGCCCTTCCCTGGGGACCCGCCCATACCTGTCTCTGAGCAGGACCCACTAAACACCAAGCAGGGCCAACACGCACCCAGATGTCGGCGCTGCTGTTCGTTCTTCAGCGTGGCCAAGGGTGTCAGCCCCTCTGGCATGTGGTCATAGAGCTGGGACAGGCACTTCTCCTGGTGGTCCTCGTCTGCACCTGGCTTCACTGCAACAAGAACCACAGGCTCAATCCCCTCCCACTTGGAGATTTCTCTTTCAGACATATCTCCAGGTCCTTTCTTCTCCAGTTGTTTTTTTTTTTTTTTTTTTTAAGACAGAATCTTATTTTGTCACCCTCAGTAGAGTGCCATGGCGTCACAGCTCACAGCAACCTCAAACTTCAGTTCAAGTGATTCTCTTGTCTCAGCCTCCCGAGCAGCTGGGACTACAGGTGCCTGCCACAACGCCTGGCTGTTTTTTAGAGACAGGGTCCCACTGTGGCTCAGGCTAGTCTCAAACCCGTGAGCTCAGTCAATCCACCCACCTCGGCCTCCCAAGTGCTAGGATTACAGTGTGAGCCACCATGCCTGGCCTTCTCCTCCAATTTTAAAAGGCATTTGGGATAATGGGTCTGCCCGTGGGCACACCTCAGGCCACCTGGCCCCGTTGCTCACTGGGACTAATCACATTCCACGGGTTCATGTTTTGACCCTGAGCCCCCACATGTGACTTTCTCCAAGTTACCCACCTCACAGAACCGTCCAGCATAGCCCAGACGCTGGCACTGCCCAGCCTGAGCACCTCTGGAGGCGTCCACACCTACAGCGGGGCCCTCCCTTCCCTCAACCTCACACACCGTGGTGTGTGTCCCCTCAAACCTCACAAAACCCCTCCCACTACCTCAAACTCCTGACTCTGTCCCTGTACACAGACACGAGGCTCGCTTAGCTGTCCCTGCCCTCCCTGTTGAGCCGGAAAAGTCCGACTCAAATGTCAGTGTCTCTGGGAAACCACAACTACACCCAAGGTTCCAGCTGCTGCCCATTTGTGTCTCCACAGCAAACCCTGAGGCATGATACAGCATTTTTATTTGTTTCCACATCTTGCCCTGCACCACTGGACTAGGTAACCCAGTGGTAGCAGCTAACACTTCCAGAGGGGCTGAGATATACAAGGAGCTTGTCAGCTTTGTACACAGATACTTGGTTTTCATAACAGGCCTGTGAGGTAGGGTCTCTTTGTAGATCCACTTTGCAGATGAGAAAACTGAGGCATGATACAGCTAAGAGACTTGCCCAAAGTCACAGAGCTAATTAGCGGCAGAGCTGAGACATGAAACAGCCTGGCTCCTTTTAATTACTTCAGGGGCTGCCTTGATTTGTACTCTTTAATCAAAACTCCTACCTAGGCTCGGTGCCTCTGGCTCAAGCAGCTAAGGCGCCAGCTACATACGCCTGAGCTGGTGGGTTTGACTTCACCCTGAGCCCACCAAACAACAATGACAGCTGAAACCAAAAAATAGCCAGGCGTTGTAGTCCCAGCTCCTAGGAAGGCTGAGGCAGGAGAAGAATCTCTTGAGCCCAGGAGTTGGAGGCTGCTGTGAGCTGTGATGCCACAGCACTCTACCCAGGGCAACAACTTGAGGCACTATTTCAAAAAAAAAAAACCACCTCCTACCTAACCTCTAGATCAGAGCTACTGCTAGGTTGAGGAAAGTGAGCCACGTCTGGGCTCCTGTATTTAATTGAGTGCCAAGAATGCAGTAGAAAAATACACAATATTTGATGGCAAGTTTTTAAATATCAAAATCAATACAAAAAAAGCCTTGACGAATGAAACATCCAAATATCTTCTTGCCTCAGGCTCCAATATGGCTCAGCATAGATCCATCTACTGATCCCCATTTATTTAAAATTTTGATCACCACAGATTTTATAGCATTAATTTTGATTCATTTAATATATTACCTTGGCTGGGGACTCATGCCTATAATCCTAGCACTCTGGGAGGCCAAGGCAGGCAGATTGCTTGAGCTCAGGAGTTTAAAACCAGCCTGATCAAGAGTAAACATTGCCTCTATTAAAAACAGACAAAATAGCCTGGTAGGCTCCATACCTGTAGCACAGTGGTTACACCAGCTACATACACTGAGGGTGGTGGGTTCAAACCAGGCCAGGGCCAGGCCAGCTAAACAATTGCAACAACAACAACAAAAATAGCCAGTGGTTATGGCCAGGTGTTGTAGGCCCAGCTACTTAGGAATCTGAGGCAAGAGAATCGCTTAAGCCCAAGAGTTTGAGGTTGCTGCGAGCTGTAATGTCACAGCACACTACCGAGGGTGACATACTGAGACCCTGTCTCAAAAAACAACAAAAAAGAAAAAAGAGAAGAAAAGAAAAACTAGCCTGGCATTGTGGCAGGCACCTGTAGTCACAGCTACTCGAGAGGCTAAGGCAAGAGGATCACTTGAACCCAGGAGTTTGAAGTTGCCGTGAGCTGTGATGCCAGGTGCTCTACCCAGGGTGACAGAGTGAGACTCTGTTTCCAAAAATAAATATTACCTTAAAATGCTACTGATATTGATCACTGAGTTTTTGGCATCCCTTAGATTCTAGATCCCAGGTGAACACCACCTGCTTCCTCCCAAGCAAAATTATAGCTGTCCCCTCTCCCTTTCCCCACAGGAGTTTATGAAACTTAATTCCACCCTGTCCTGTGTGACATCTGCCTGGCTTAATCTGTCACTCGCATTCTCTGCCTTCAGGCTGTGAGTATCGCCAAGGCACGCAGGCAGCTCTCACTCAGCTCAGAGACTCCCCAACCCCCACACGAGGCACCCCGACCACAGCCCTGAGCAAGTCCCCAGCCCCCAAGCCTTACACTGGTGGTCAATGAGGAGAGTGGCAGTGAAGTAATGGGCCAGGGCCCCGTAGTGATGAGCCTTCACGCAGGCCAGGCTGGCCCAAGAATAGGGGATGTTCTCTTTGACCGGCTCCTGGCTCATGGCGGTATGCAGCTGCTGGTAGACCTCTCCCACCTGAAAGGGAAGGGGCATTAGGAAGGGGCAGCCAGACACAGGGGAACACAGGAACCTGGCTGCAGAAAAAGAGCCCTTTCTTCTAGGTAGCTGCCTCTGCCAGAGGCCCTTTCCAAAATCTGGGAGCAACTCCAAGGAACTCCTCGTGCTGTCAGAGTTAGAGTTTAACCCAGGGTTCGGCGGAATCAGGCAGCTGTCATGATGATGGTTTTTAGGCTCAGCTACAGATGGAATCGGTGATCCATATCTGAAGCACCAATACTTGCCAAGAAAACACAAGCCAGCGGTCCCAGCCGGGGTGGGCACGCTGCCCAGTTGTGGGCACACCGCTGTGGGATGCCTGTGCCGCTTCTAGTGCTCCTACGCCAACGTACCCTGCCCCCCCAGGAGTCTCAGGAACAGGAACTCCTTCTTACCCTGGCAGCCTCCTGTGCCACCTTCACCAGAGTGAAGAATTCGTTCCGGATCCCACGAAGGCTGACTTTCTCAAACACGCTTTCTTGGGCTTGTGCCAGCATCATTTTGATGAGCACACTGAGCATGGCGGGGCTCATGTCGTAACTTGGAGTATGGGTAAACGTCTCTTTCAGATAGTTTAAAACACCTGAAAGTGTAGAGTTTTTGCTTATCAGTTTGGGATCATATGTACTTCACAATGCTGTCATAAAGAATGACAAGCAAAAACATAAAACTGGTATGCCAGGCCAGGAGAAGTGGGTCAGGCCTATAACCCTAGAACAATGGGAGGCCAAGGCGTGGGGGGTGGGGATCGCTTGAGCTCAGTTAAGACCAGCCCAAGCAAGAGTGAGACCCTGTCTCTACCAACATAGAAAAACTACCCGGGTGTTGTGGTGGGCAACTGTAGTCCCAGCTACTTGTGAAACTGAGGCAGGAGGATCTCTGGAGCCCAAGAGTTTGAGGCTGCTGCGAGCAAGGATTGGTACCACGGCACTCTACCCAGGGTGACAGAGTGAGACTCTCAAGAAAAAAAAATGAATTTCAGTTTGGAGGTGGCCTTCCTTCTTCCCCAGGCACTGAGGCCTGCTCTGCAGAAGCCCCTTTTCCCAGTGAAGGCACAGATGTGGTGGCTCTGTTGTGTCAGCTACAGTACATTGGCAGCCCGCCACCCCAATTCCGTGAGACACAGGGGAGGCATGGAAATTGCTGAGACTACCGTGTCGGCTGATGCCTGCATGGCCCCACTCTGTGCAGCTTCCCAAATGGACCAGCTACATTTGCCTTCCAAGCTAGGGCAGACATTTTTGGGCTGATCCTGCAGCTCTGCCTGCAGACCCAGGTGGGCGGGGTGGGGGTGGTCCTGCCCTCCCCACCGTCCTCCTTTCAATCTCTGGGTTCCTTTTGGATCACTGAGGCACAATCCCTGCTCGAGCAAAGACAACTAACTCCCAAACCTGTCTCAGAACTAGGATGCAAAGTCTTTGAACATGCAGAGTACCCTCCAGGCCTGTGGCACTACCTCTCCCCATCCTCCTCTTCAAGAGCAGGTGCAGGAGGCCAAGCCCTGAGCCAGCTGATGAAGGCAGGGCAACCCAAAATCTAGACACACATCTTCACATTCAGAGGCTGCTGGTTCTGCTGGTACTGGAGCGCCACCTAGTGTTCTTGCTAAAAATAAACCCTTTTGAACTCTCCTGAATACCTAAGAGGATGATAGGCCATTTTAACACCAACTCCTAGAGCCAAAGAAGAACAAAGGAAAGTAGGAAAAGAGAAAAGAAAGTAGGGGGAGGAAATAAGAAGAAACCACACATGAGGAGAAACCAGGAAAAAAACTCTATGTGAAGAGCCAGAACAAATCAACTCCCCAAAGAAATCACCATGGAGCTACTAGAGAAGATCCCAGCTGAAAAGAAACTGTGGAAATGGGCAGTGCCTGTGGCTCGGTGGGTAGGGCGCCGGCCCCATATGCAGAGGGTGGCGGGTTCAAACCCAGCCCCAGCCAAACTGCAACAACAACAAAAAAAGAAATTAGTGGAAATGATAGAAATAAAATTTCAATTATAGATGGCAAATATGCTAAAGAGAATTGAAAGGAATGTGGAAGACCAGGAAAAAGAATTTGAAAAAAATGTCCAAAGAAATTAACAAAAGGCAAAACAAAGTCCTCCAGGATCCAGAGAAAATGAGAAAAGATATAACTGAGATTAAAGAATTGAAGGAGGCATTCAGGGAGTTTTAAAGAATCCCACAGCTTGAAGACAAGGCTCTGGAGCTAACCCCGTCTTTTAAAGAGGCAACAGAATTTTCATCAGCAACAGTGAATATTAGTAAGCTATGAAGTAATGTCTTCAATATTCTGAGAGAAAATGATTATGAGACTAAATTTCTATGCCAAGTTAAAATAGCATTTAAATGTGAGGGTGGAATACAGGAATTTTCAGACCAGCAAAGCCTCAGGAAATTTATTAGTGAAAAATCTTCTATGAAAGAATTATTGAAAGATGTACTCCCACAAAATGAAAACAATAAATGAAGGAAGAAAAATATATAAAAAGTCTAATAGACTCAAAGCACAGTTCTAGAGGAACAACCAGTGATAGCTGGAGCTTTCTCTCTCTCTCTCTTTTTTTTCTTTATTTTGGAAACACAGTCTCATTTTGTTGCCCGTGATAAGAGTGCTATGGCATCATAGCTCACAGCAATCTCAAACTCTTGGGCTCAAGTTATCTTTTTGCCTCAGCTTTTTTATTTTAGTAAAGACAAGGTCTCACTCTTGCTCAGGCTGCTCTCGAACTCATGCCATCAACCTGCCTTGGACTCCCTGCATGCTAGGATTACAGGCATGAGCCAACTTGCCTGGCCTGGAGAACACAGGGAAGCCAAGGTGGCCATGTGGATCGCCTGAGCTTAGGAATTCCAGACCAGCCTGAGCAAGAGTGAGACCCATCTCTACTAAAAATAGAAAAACTAGCTGGGCATTATGGTGGGCATGAGCAGTTCCAGCTACTCAGGAGACTGAGGCAAGAAGATCAATTGAGCCTAGGAGTTTGAGGTTGCTGTAAGCTATGACACCACAGCACTCTACCCAGGGCACAGAGTGAGACTCTATCTCAAAAAAAAAAAAAAAAAAAAAGTACTCATGCCTCAGCCTCCCTAGTAGGTAGCACCTGCCATCAGGCCCAGATAATTGTTATAATTTTAGTAGTAGGGTCCCCCTCTTTCTCAGACTGGTCTCAAACTCCTGAGACAGAGTCTCACTCTTTCACCCTGCGTAGAGTCCCATGGCGTCAGAGCTCACAGCAACCTCAAACTCTTAGGCTCAAGCAATCCTCTTCCTTCAGCCTCCCCAGTAGCTGGGACTACAGGTGCCCACAACCACACCCAGTTAGTTTTTTGTATTTTTAGTGGAGACTGGGTCTCATTCTTGCTGAGGCTGGTCTCAAACTCCTGAGCTCAGACAATCCCCCACCTCCAGCCTCCAAGAGTGCTAAGATTATAGGTGTGAGCCACTGTGCACGGCTCCAAAAATTCTTTTTAAAAATTAGCTAGCTGGGCGGCTCCTGTGGCTCAGTGAGTAGGGCGCCGGCCCCATATACGAAGGGTGGCAGGTTCAAACCCGGTCCTGGCTGAACTGCAAACAAAAAATAGCCAGGTGTTGTGGCAGGCGCCTGTAGTCCCAGCTACTCGGAAGACTGAGGCAAGAGAATCCCTTAAGCCCAAGAGTTGGAGGTTGCTGTGAGCTGTGTGACGCCATGGCACTCTACTAAGGGCAACACAGTGAGACTCTGTCTCTACAAAAAAAAAAAAAAATTAGCCAGCTGTAGTGGTGCCCACCTTAGGCCCACCAACTAGGAAGATCGCTTGAGCTCAGGAGTTGGAGGTTGCAGTGAGCTATAATTATGTCATTGCACTCCAGGCATGGTCACAGAGCAAAGACCCTATCTCAGAATAAAAAAAGGTTAAAATGAAAAATTTATGTGTATTTTACTATAATAAAAAATGGTTAAAATAGTAAAGTCTATGTTATGTATGTTAAAAAAACACTAGATTCTCTTCCAAAACAATTACATCTATATCAAGCAAGGAAACCAGCCTGTTCCCCTCTACAAGGCTCACCTAGAAAACCTGTGGGAAATTCCACCCATGGCTAGGCATTTCATGGAGGTGAAAACAGAAAGCAGGTAGATGGGGGTAGGGGCTTCCTGGCACTAGCTCACACAAAGGGCCTGGGCCATTCGGAAACCTGGGGCTTTTCCCCAGGGCCTCCAGAAATATCAATTCATTCCGCTCTGATGGAAACTTTCATGCTATAGCTCTCAGCTGACTCTTTTACACTTTAGAAAGTTAATTGTCAAAAGCATGAACGGACAATCAACCTGGGGCTGAAACACAATCTGTGGCCTGAATCCCATCTAACTGGTTCCTCTGGTTTGGTTGCTGAGCAAAGAAAGAAAAAACCAGCCTTGCAGGAGCATGGCACCTGCTGGGGCTATTTGTTCCCCTGGGGGTTCCCTCAGAGTCCCCACTGTTCTCAAGGTTCATTATATCTAAATCTCAGTAATGCTGGAGAGGGTCACAAACACGCCTGCCCGAGATTCCTCAGAAAGAGGGTCCAGGCAGGGTGGTTCACGCCTGTAATCCCAGCACTCCAGGAGGGTGAGGCTGGAATATTGCCTGAGCTCAGGGGTCAGAGCCCAGCCCAAGTAACCTCATCTCTACTAAAAATAGAAAAACTTGCTGGGTGCTGTGGTGGACACCTGTAGTCCCAGCCCCTCCTTAGGCCCAGGAGTCTGAGGTTGCTGACGTCATGGAACTCTAGCCAGGACAACAGAATGAGACTTTCTCCCCCGCACTCCAAAAAAAAATTTCTCAGAAAGAAAGGCAGGCCCAGAGAGTGTTTCAAAGGTAAAGAAATTGACTCCCTTGTTGTTTCATCCCCAGAGACCGCTCATTTTAACACGAGAACCCCTAATGATCAAGGTGGCAATGCCATGGCTTACAGAGCACACTGACATACCAAAAAAGCTTCTGTGCAGCTCGGAGAACCACAAGAGCACAGAAGGTGGACACTCCACTGGGCCACTGTGAACATCACACTTGGAGCCCCAGCCCGACCCACAGAGTCTGCTCCAGACACAGCCCGGGGAGCAGGGAGTGACGCAGAACTCTGGGTCACACAGGAGCCACGCTGGGTTCACTCAGAGCCCAGGTCTGCTGACCCAGGTTGGCGCTGAGCGGCTTTGCCCTCCATCCTGGAACTGTTCTTATACCAAGGAGCGTTTCAGGGGCCACTACCAGGGAAGAAGAGCTAGGAAAGCATTCGAAAGTCCTATAAGGAGGGGACCGAACTTCTAGGCATCCCTTGAGTGTGTCACTTGACAAAGGGCCGAGGACATGAACCACACGTGGGCAAACTTGACAGAATAAGCTCAGCATAAAACACAGGGAGTAATTTGCCCTCATGAGGTACAGCTAATAAAAGGAGGGGGGAGAAGTTATTATTATTATATTATTATTATTGTTATTGAGACAGAGTCTCACTCTGTTGCCCTATAGAGTGCTGTGCTGTCATAGTTCCCAGCAACCTCAGTCTCCTGGGCTCAAGTGATCCTCCTGCCTCAGCCTCCCAAATAGCTGGGACTACAGGTGCCCCCCACAAAACCTGGCTAGTTTTTCTATGTTTAGTAGAGATGGGGTCTCACTCTTGTTCAGGCTGGTCTCAAACTCCTGTTAGAGATCAGAGCTCAGAGGATCAATCTGCCTTGGCCTTCCAGAGTGGTCAGATGACAGGTGTGAGCCACTGTGCCTGGCCAAGAAAATTTAGGGAGGTAGTTATTCCATTCTTCACCACTGCCACCCTGAGGCCCCTCATTTGGAAAAGTTTAATCATTAACCAAAGGTCTCACTGTATGTTTGAGCCATCCTAGGCTGGGGAAACTGCTTTCAACCATTAAGCCTCTCTTAAAGGGAAGTCACAAGAGTGCCAAAAACTGGTCTGGCCCTTTCAGGCTTGTGAGAAAAGACGTGAGCTATGTTTCAGGGGTTCTGAAAGCCCTGCGCCGGGCAGGGCCCAGGCTCTGGCCAGGCAGCCCTCAAGGGAACACACCTGCAGCTCTCTGAAAGGCATCTACGGCGCTCTCCAGCCCAGCTTGTGTCTTCCGATCGCACCGGGTCCCAATCTGGGTGTACAGGGCACCGATATTGAACAGGACACTGGCCTTCTCTAGAAGCAAGTTCTGCTGGCTGACCGGAACCCCAGTGAGGGAGTCATACCTATTTAAAAGAAAACACACAAATTACTAGGCTAGTTAATGTCACTTTGAGGTGAAAACAGACAAAATTCATTTTTTTTTTTTTTTTTGAGATAGAGAGTCCCACTACATTGTCCTCGGTGGAGTCCTGGGCCTCACAGCTCACAGCAACCTCAAACACTTGTGTTTAAGCAATTCTCTTGCCTCAGCCTCCCAAGTAGCTGGGAACTACAGGTACCCACCACAACGCCCAGCTATTTTTTTGGTGCCGTAGTTGTCATTGCTGTTTAGCAGACACCAAGCCAAAAATTCATTTCTTGAATAAAATTCAAAAGCTGCACATGCAGGCTCAGCCGCCTATAGCTCAAGTGGCTAAGGCGCCAGCCACATACACTAGAGCTGGCAGGTTCGAACTACAACAGAGGTGGCAGGTTAAAATCCAGCTCCAGCCTGCCAAACAATGACAACTAAAACCTAAAATAGTGGGGCATTGTGGTGGGCACCTGTAGTCCCAGCTACTTGGGAGGCTGAGGCAAGAGAACTGCTTAAGCCCAGAAGTTGGAGGTTGCTGTGAGCTGTGATGTCACAGCACTCTACCCAGGGGGACAGCTTGAGGCTCTGTCTCCAAAAAAAAAGCAAGCTGCACATGCAAGGAAGCTTTTGTGGGGGGGGGGGTCTGTAGCTCTGTGGGTAGGGCCCAGGCTGGCAGGTTCAAACCCAGCCCAGGCCATGCAAACAACAATGACAACTACAACAACAAAAAAAGTCAGACGTTGTGGTGGGTACCTATAATCTCAACTACTCAGGAGACTGAGGCAAAAGAATCGCTTGAGCCCAAGAGTTTGCGGTTGCTGTGAGCTGTGACGCCATGGCACTAATTGCAATCACAACCACAAAAATGAATAAATTGTGACTTGATTAAATTAAAAAGCTTCTGCACAGCTAAGGACGTAGACAATCTACAGAATGGGAGAAAATATTTGCAAGTCATATATCTGATAAAGGTCTAATAGAATCTACAAAGAACTCAAACAAATCAGCAAGGAGAAAACAACCCTATTCCAAAGTGGGCAAAAGACATACACAAAAGCTTTTCAAAAGAAGACAGACAGGCTCGGTGCCTGTGGCTCAAGTGGCTAAGGCGCCAGCCACATACACTTAAGGTGGTGGGTTCGAATCCAGCCCAGGCCCACCAAAACAACAATGATGGCTGAAGCTAAAAAACAGCTGAGTGTTGTGGCGGG